AGTTTGTTTATTTATGACTTTTTTTTTACTTGCTGTTATTGTTTTGTTTTTTAACATTTCCTGGTAAGGCGACCAAGATACAATATTTAAACAAGCAGCCTATCGGCCGAGATAGCTCCGCTGTTAGCAATGCATATGTCAATTAAAGAACTGAAGACATCATTAGAAAATGAACAATATGTAATATAAAAGCAATCAGACTTACAGTTTTTAACAAGAAGTCGAAAATATCACTTTCTACCAAAAATATTCACCAAAATTAGAGAATTGAAGATATCATCACGAAATGAACAAATCTGAGAAAGGTCTACATGTAGTATCTATATATGTAATATCAAAGCAATTGGACTTGCGGTTTTTAACAAGAAGTTGAAAATATCCCTTTTTACCAACAAGTAGCCTCTCGGCTGAGATAGCTCCGCTGTTAGCAATGCACATTTCAATTAAAAAACAGAAGATATCATTAGAAAACGAGCAATATATATAGTATCAAAACAATCAGACTTGCGGTTTTCAACAAGAAGTCGAAAATATCACTTTTTACCAAAAATGACAAAAATATTCATCAAAATTAGAGAATTGAAGATATCATCATGAAATGAACAAATCTGAGTTAGAACCACATGTACCGGTAGTACCTATATATGTAATATCAAAGCAATTGGACTTCAGGTTTTTAACAAGAAGTCGAAAATATCACTTTTACCAAAAATATTCACCAAAATTAGAAAATTAAAGATATCATTACAAAATGAACAAATCTGAGAGAGGTCCACATGTAGTACCTATATATGTAATATCAAAGCAATTGGACTTGCGGTTTTTAACAAGAAGTCGAAAATATCACTTTTTACCAAAAATGGCAAAAATATTCACCAAAATTAGAGAATTGAAGATATCATCACAAAATGAACAAATCTGAGAAAGGTCTACATGTAGTATCTATATATGTAATATCAAAGCAATTGAACTATTGGTTTTTAACAAGAAGTCGAAAATATCACTTTTTACCAAAAATTACAAAAATATTCACCAAAATTAGAGAATTAAAGATATCAACATGAAATGAACAAACCTAAGAGAGGTCTACCCAAGGTACATATACACCAAGTATCAAAGCATTCAGGCTTGTAGTTTTCAAGAAGAAGTCGAAAAAGTAAAATATTGACACGAACGACGACGACGACGGACAATCACTCATATGACAAGCTCCGCTCGACAAAGTCGACAGCGGAGCTAAAAATTTAATAACAGCAAGTAAAACCAAAAACAAAATTCATAAACAAACAAAAAAACTAAATTTAAAGAAAAAAAAAATTGGAGTCTATAACATCAGATTTTAAAAAGATTTTTACAATGTTGGTTGGCATCATAAAGCCTAACAATGTTTCTGGTAAAAATATATATCACAACTGAACAAGTGGACAGGCCAGGCCCAAAAAAAGAACTTCTTTTCAATTTTATGGGGGTTTGGGAGTTCACTTTTTCTCCAAACGGTAATTGTTGTGCTGTCACAAGATACACACAAGATCTGACTTTATACAGACAATAAAATGATATTCTCATCTGGTTTATAAATGATGTGTAAAATATTTTATTTTAGCTGGAATTAATTTTCCTGAAAAGACACTTTGGGTGTTTTGTATGTATAGAGTTGAATACATACTAGGTACCGTAAAAGGTATATTCGCCGGATATATATTTTCACTGACACAACAGTAGGAAAAATATATTCTAAGTGTAATTTTTTACAGTAACAATTTTTTTGTATTACAAGAATCATTCAAGGTAATAATTTACAGTTTTTTTGCATTCTATATAACAAATCTGAAATAGAAATATTATTTGATGTTGTCATTATCAAATACCAGAAAACCTGACATACATACCGGTGCGTTAACAATGACCACACTGGGTTGATCCGTCGTCCCGACAACGCTATATGCCGTCATAAACGAATAGGTCGATAACCACAGCACACTAACAACTATGCAAGATAAAAAAATTTTATTTACTCATATTGAAATCATTTTTTTTTTTTTTTACGTCATATCAGAGGTACATTACTTGGGGTTTGCAACTCGCATAGTACTGTATGGTGACATCATGTCAAGATCCCATTCAAGTCTCATCTCGTAGATAGCGAGACTGAGGCTACGACCTTCTGACATGACACATATCAATGTTCAAGGTTTGTAATGAAAAAATAAAACTTTTCTTGTCGCTATCATAGTGAAAAATGTAATACATCGAAAATGTACAGAAAATATAGTTCTCGTAATCCGTCATACCGTGGGCAGCTATTTTGATCCACCTGGACATCCCAGTATCCTAGTTACCTCGGGCATGCGCATTCGCATTTTTCTGAGTTGGAACGCTTATGCGAGAGCGAGATTGTGACGGGATCTTGGTATCATGTCACCGTAGTTACAAACCCCAAGTAATGTACCTCTGGTCATATATATGTTTGGAACGTCTAGTTTGTTTGATTTGTTTCTCGGCCAATTGTGAAGATTTTTTCACAGGTTTTACACAAAACCTGGAGTTTTGAGGGCACAGATTTAAAAAATAAAAGTTAATATTTTGTGTTTTCTGGATGCGTACTGGACCTAACATTAGGTAGATTGCCATTCACATCTCTGCCCTAATGTTTGAACAGGTGTTGACTGATACAAGTTAATAAAAACTTGTCTATTTTGTTGCATTTGGGACCAAAGTACCAACCCTGAAAATTATATACGAGGGTTTTTTCACACGACTCAACTTCCATACCTTGTATAACGACATTATTGTCAAAGACGCTGGGCTCACTGATTTCTCTCTTTTTTTCTAGTGTTTTGGAATACTGTACCAATTTTCCAGCTAGCGTACCACAAACAATCTGTTTTCCCTTAGGGCTCCAGCAAACTGCAAACAGAGAAGTGTAAATGGTAAAACACATAGTATAAACCTATCTAACAAAACAAACATTCTCAGTCAAGTTCAAGTCCAAGTTCTTTATTGATAGTATATAGTTTTTCATATTCATTCCATAGTCTCCTGTCAGAATTAAATATATCTGTGAAGGAACTGCAAACCATCCAGAAAGAAAAAATCTCTGAATTAACAGCACTCCAATAAAAACTATAAAAAAACAAAAGCACTTAGTAATACAGACCCACCACCAGAGGGAAGCATGAAAGTTAACCGTCTTACTTGCACTGATTCCATTATCACTGTCCAAGCAATGCAGCTGTGCAGCAGTGGAATTGCTGATATCCCATAATGATAACGTCCCTTTGTTACAACACGCAGCGAACATACTTGCATGAGCTACATCAGGATTCCATTTTAAATCAAGTAACGGTGCTGTATTTCCCGGTATCAGTATCTCGCTACAAAATGGCAGGGGATCTTTAGCCTGAAAAAAGTGAAAATCAAAGCGTCACAATTATTTAACCATTTCAATACCATCATTTTTTTTCCCACCAAAATTTGCATGCAGTATTATTCAAATTTGCATTTAATTTTCTCTAATTTCTTTTGAACATAGTTTCCCTCACAAGCATTAATCAAAATTGTTGTTTGTAGAAGGCATTAAAAGTTGACTTTTGAGTTACATTCAAGATGAAATGATAGATGGAGATTTGACAGTGTCTCCTAAAAACATACTGAAAGTGTTATAAAAAAAGTCTAAATAATGCTGATAAAACTAAAATTAGTGGCATATTTTGACATAAAATTGCCATTTCTATATGCGCTAAAATATATACATGTATGACAAAAACACACAAGTAGAATTCTTCTTTAAGAAAGGCTACAGAGTAAATAAAATAACTATAAATCTATTTCTTATAACTGATAGTTCACAAAACTCACCATGTTAACAAATGCTCTCACATCATAACAATTTACAACCGTATTAGTATTGTCATTGAAGCACACAGACAAAGTGAGACTGTCCGCTGAGAGAGAAATGTGACAGGGCATTACTGCTAACTTCACTTTTCTTACAACAGGGACAGCTGAAACTGAAAAAGAAAAAAAGAATATATGAACAAGAGAAAAGTAACTTTTCACTTTTCCTGCCAGGTAACAAAAAATACAAACCATACAAATATGTGCTATTCCAAATATGGCATGGTATGCAATACATAA